CACGCGGAAAAAAGTACTTCTACAGTATAAGGAAAAAATAACAATTTTGAAAAGTAGGCCAAACTTCATGGTCTTCATGTATGATATGGAAACCCTATCTGTTCTCTTTGAAAAGTTATGACCAATTTAAAATAATATATGTGGATATGGTAAAATATTTGAATAGTTTGTCAAACTTCAAGTATAGGGTCACAGGGTCAAAAATCATAGCATAATGTATTTGGGAAATGTTTGGTAATGTGCAATGTACATCTGAAATATGAAATCCCTATCTCTCTCAATCAAAAGCAATGACCAATGCAATGTTAAGGTTTTTTGTGACAAACATACAGATGATGAGATTTAATAAACCATCACTTTTTGCAAAATCAGGGGACAATCAATTAAATTACAATATGTGTACAAGTACTAAGTAGAAAACCCTAATTAAAAAGAATGTACTCCCTAATGGGATATAAAGAGCAAATTTGTCTTAGAGTTACATGTTAAATTTAGGTAGGTACCCTGTAACATTATTAGATATTTATTATACATACTCTTTATGCATTTGAGACCTTAAAGACAAATCCCCCCCCCCCCAAAAAAGAAGATAAAATTACTTGTTATTATAATTGTACACAAATTAATTTTTAGCAATTTTAAAGCTGTTTTATGTTCAAATGGAAAACTATGAACTAACTTTTGTACACCATAAGGGCTAAATCTGAAAACATTTTTGTATACGCTTGATAAAGTAATCATAGTAAAGCCCTCTTAAATTAGCAGAGGATTATCTCCCCTTTGTACTTTGTAGAAAAGTTTGAAGAGCAGGGATGGAAGGTTTGGTTTGCAGACCCTGATATGGAGCACCGTATGATGGTCAATCAAAAAGGAGAAGCCATCCTCTCATGCAAGGTATGAACGGAGTATATGATCACTATACCTACATGTATAATACGTACGTCTTATGTTGTGACTGTTGAGATAAACACAGAGGTACCTGTCATCAGAAACCTATACACAGCTTATACATGCAACTTTGATCTGCCACCTCAAGATGCATGAGACACAGTTTGGAGACATTAAATAACATTTTTCATAAGTGGCAAATCTATGACCAGGTTTTAATAGGCTTTTTGCCATTTTTGGATCCACTGGTCAGAGACGAGAAGAGCTTATGCAAAAGTAATGTGTTCATTCATCTGTCTAGCTGTCTGTCTGTCTGTCTGTAAACAATTTTTCAAAATGCTACTCCTCTTACAATTTTGGTCTGATTTCAGTATAACTTGGCACACAAGTAGACTACACTAAGATAAATAATTCTGTTTAGCGGTTTTTGATTTCGATGAACGATGTTGCTATTGTTACTAAAAATAGAAATTTCTGTGAAATACTTTCAAAACGCTACTCCTCCCACAGTTTTGGTCTGATTTCAATATAAATTGGTACACAAGTAGACTACACTAAGGTTCCTTTTTGATTTTGATGAATGGTGTTGCCATGGTTACTGAAATAAAAAATTTCTTTGAAATACTTTCAAAATGTTACTTCTCCACTATGGAAGGGAATTACCGCCAAAAGTCTATGTATCTTGCTTTTATTCTTATTCTGCCTACTTCTTTATGCTTTGTTATTGTTGTAATTATATGTCGCTTTATTGTTTTCATATTCGTCTTTATTACATTTCACTTTGACTTTTATCCTTCTTCATTTTGCCCTTACTTCTATGTTGCTTTATTCTTGTAAATTCATTTTACTTTCTTTTAAATTGATACAGTTTCTTAAATGATTATCTCTATTACGAACGTGAATTCAATCACACAAAGAATGAAGCATATTCAATGAAGACGAATACAAGTTGTCAAAATTTAGTGCCGCATTATAACGCTAGGTGGCAGGGGTGTTCGCTACGAGTGTTGGTAAAACTAGGTAAGCAAACCCGGGCCAGGGTTATTCGAGATTTTTCAATTTTCTGCCTTAATACTTTATCAATCGAACTTAAATTTTCAAATGATGTTTGTTATAAGTTCAGGTATGTACCGGATAATGCCACTCCCTCGGAAGATGGAAATATTTCCCCTGGAAGACTGTCTACATAGTGATGCTTCCTTCGGAAGATTATACAGTGAGACTTCCCCCGGGGAAGTTTCAATATATAGCTAGTCTTCCGTGGGAAATCTCGCTGTATATAGCAATTCGTCCCCCTTCATAGCAACCCCTCCCCCGAATAGTTTTTTTTTAAATCGTAAAACAATGTTTATATACTAACGTTTTCAGTTTTTGAAGAAAAGTTATCCGTCCTATATGAATAAATTTTTTAATGATATCATTTTAATAGTGGTTAATAATTAAATCATTTTAACCATTTAGTTAAACATAGATAATTTTCACGAGTATTAATGGATAATGACTTCCTCCCCCCCCCTGGACCCAGCCCCCCCGTGCCCCCCCCCCCTAGGGTGCAGTCGCCTGCGTGGCACTGTGGTTACGGCGTCTGCTCTAGAGTCACGAAACACAGTAGTAAGGAGTCGATCAATACGTTGTGGGTTCGAATCATAGTCCTACTATGGGACGTGGAGTTCGGTCCTTCGGATGAGATCTAGACCGTATTATCCGAGGTCCCGTATCGCAGTAGGTGCTGGCCCGAAAAAAGATCCCTCACTGCTCAATGGCTATAAGTGCCGGATATATAGGACAAATTTGCAGCTCTCCACCGGCAAGAGGTGGCTTCTCCATTTGAGTTAAAAATTCTCCAATTTAAAGGGACGTTATACAATGTACAATCACACCCCTAAGTCTCAATATATATACTGACTTCCGTCTGAACGACCTCCTATGGGGTAAGTTTCACCACATGGGGGGATCTAGTGGGGGGTGGGGGGTCAGCCCTCCCCCCCCCCCCCCCTGGAATTTACAAGGTTAAGAAATGTATATACTAAAGCAAGAAAAAATTTACCTTGGAATCTCCCCCGGTAAACATGAATATGTGTGAAATGGGTATGAAAAGTGAAGGATTTGAGGCAATAGAAGTCATAGACTACAACCCCCCTCCCCCAACGAAATAGGATTTTCACGTTTGGGCGAGTTTAGGTTTTTTTGTTTTTGTTTTGTTTTTGTTTTTTTTTTTTTTGTTTTTTTTCTTGTCAAGAAATTTCTGGGATTGGGTTTTTTTTTTTACAGGGGTGGACCCCCCCTAGAAAAAAATTTCTGGATCCGCGCCAGCACCGGTAGAGGGGAGGGTGGCCACGAAACATTTTCCTAAACGTAACAGACTTTTTACTACTGGCAAAGTTCAGCGAAAGGCTTGTTGCCCCCATCCCTTACACTTTTTGTTGCAGCACTAATAGTCAATTTATATTTTAAAAGTCATGTACTTAGTGAGTAATATTTGGTACTGAAAAAAGTTGACGAAATCCCCCCCCCCCCTCCCCTTCACCACCACCAAATAGAATTTTCAAGTTTTAAGATTTTTTTTTAGCTCTCCTGGCTAATGTAAAATACGGTGCGTACTAAAGATGTTTCTTTTCTTTATTGAAAAGTACTATTTCAACATAAAATATTATAGCAGAAAAGAAGACTGGGGAGTTTCTAGTATGCCTGGGGTGTAGCCTGGTTCCGACTTCGCATACCCATAACGCTCCTCACTCCTTTGCAAAGCCCCGTCCCTAGAATCACACGCATGAGCAGTTACTATTTGTCGTGAAATAAAGTTCAGTTCAGTGGAAGGTCCTGAAAAACAAATCAATTTCATGCGCGGATCTAGGGGGTGGGGGGGGGGGGGGGGGGGGCCCCCCCCCCCCCCCCCCCCCCCTGGAATTTACCAGGTTAAAAAATGTATATACTAAAACAAGAAAAAAGTTACCATGGACCCCCCCCCTTGAAAACGCTGACCCCCCCTGGTAAACGCGAATATGTGTGAAATGGGTATGAAAAGTGAAAGATTTGAGGCAATAGAAGTCACCACTACCCCCCCCCCCCCCACACACACACACACACGAAATAGGTTTTTGCCGTTTGGTGAGTTTAGGTTTTTTTTTTTTGTTTTTTGTTTTTTGTTTTGCTTGTCAACAAATTTCTGGGATTGGATTTTTTTTTGACTGGGGTGGACCCCCCCCCCTGGAAAAAATTTCTGGATCCGCGCCTGAATTTATAAGGGGTAACTAGTATCAAAATATTTAACATTTTTATGTCAATTAAACTGGAATTCAATTATCCAACAAATAACTTTAATAGAGTTATATTTTTTTCAGGCGAGAGAACAGTGACGTAGCATCGTTTTTAAAAATTCAAGCTAACTGGCTGAAAACAACTTGACAAAAAAAAAAAAAAAAAAAAAATTTTCTTTCCAAAGATAGAATTAGAACAGACATTGAACATTGCTGCCTAGGTTTAGCCCTCCCCCCCCCTTTCCATGGACACGATGCAGTATAGGTTTAAAATGGGGAAAGTGGTGGTGTTTTGAAAAAAAAATTGGCACTGAGGTTCAACCCCCCCCCCTCCACGAAATAGGATTTTTGTGTTTGGACAGTGGACATTTCTTTTTCTTTTTTGGCTTGTCAAGTTTTTTTTTTAAGTTCTAAAAAATATTTCTTACACTTTGCCCCCCCCCCCCGGGCCCCAACTTTCACTTTGTCCGACGCCATTGAAATCCTATTTCGGGGCGGGGTGGGTTTTGGGTTAGATTCAACTTCTTCTATAGTATCAAATATAATTTTTTCCCTACTATACCACATTAACCTTATTTGACCCTTATGCCTAGGTCACATTTAAGCCGATGGTCGGGCGACTATATTTTTCTGGTCTTGTCGGCTGAAAGAACAGGATCGGCCGACACAGTATCGGCTGACACGGAGCAGTCACATTATTTCCTAGGGACACCGATGACTTGGATAAATAACACCAAAAATCTTTTTTCTTTAGAAATCAGCAATATTTTTTCATAGATCTATACTCAGATAGGTGACGTGAGTAATGTTTGCAAGGCAAAGTTGCAGAATCTTCTAAAATTGTGATTCAATGTTGAACGTGTGCGCAAAATTTGTATGGAATTGCATAAAAATGACAAATGTGCATATCTAAGCAGCAAAGAATACTTAAGATTTCTTTATATCTTATGGATTAATTATTTATGTTATTTCCGTTCAAAAAATTTATATAAATCAGTGCATCAAAATTTTGTTTGTGTTATGTATCCATAATAAGTTAAATATTCACAAGTCGGCCAATCGTCGCCCGATCATCGAGCTCTGAGCTACAGTTTGATTTTAACCGTCGGCCGAAATTTTCAACACCCTTATTGTCCAACGACGGACGACCGACTTAATAAACTGACCGCCGATGGTCGGACGATGATCAAAGGTTGGTCGACGGATAACTACAGTTGAAGAAATCGGCCACCGACGCATGAAAAATTATAACTTAGACCGATGGACACAAAATTGGTCGGCCGACAAAAAAAATAGGTCAAAATCGGCCAAGACAACGGCCGATGAACTGACGATTGTCACCCGAAGAATCCCATATTTTCTTCAAAACCCGTCGGCCGTTGGTCGTTTTTGGAAATGTGACTGGGGTTTTACCCTTACAAAAAGTGGGTCGGCCCTTCAATGAACATATTCAGCAAATTATATAAAGTTATGTCCGAAAAAAGAGGCCGCTATTCCTGTGTGCCCAGAGAAAATAAATATGGAGTTTCCATCATTGGATCAGTTCAGAAGTTCGATTGATAAAGTATTAAGGCAGAAAATTGAAAAATCTCGAATAACCCCGGCCCGGGTTTGCTTACCTAGTTTTACCAACACTCGTAGCGAACACCCTTGCCACCTAGCGTTATAATGCGGCACTAAATTTTGAAAACTTGTATTCGTCTTCATTGAATATGCTTCATTCTTTGTGTGATTGAATTCACGTTTGTAATAGAGATAATCATTTAAGAAACTGAATCAATTTAAAAGAATTCTAAGTAAAATGAATTTACAAGAATAAAGCAACATAGAAGTAAGGGCAAAATGAAGAAGGATAAAAGTCAAAGTGAAATATAATAAAGACGAATATGAAAACAATAAAGCGACATATGATTACAACAATAACAAAGCATAAAGAAGTAGGCAGAATAAGAATAAAAGCAAGATTGTAATAAAGACGAATATGAAAACAATAAAGCGACATATAATTACAACAATAACAAAGCATAAAGAAGTAGGCAGAATAAGAATAAAAGCAAGATACATAGACTTTCGGCGGTAATTCCCTTCCATACTCCACTGGTTATAGTCTCATTCAATATAATTTGGCACACAAGAGACTTAATCAAGGATCATTATTCTATTTATTGCTGTTGTAAAGTTTCAAGCATAAGTACAAACCAGTAGAGCTACAATCTCGACGGACACTTCTGGTTTTTAAAGCTTTCTGGAAAAACTAAATATTCACAACTGTGATCCAAGCCTCTTATATTCACCATTATTGCATGGAATACTAGTACCAAAGGAAGGTTTCACAAAAAAAAAAATTACTTGACAAACTCCAATTTGTGGGTGTCTAGGGTCTTAAAAAATATCATACACATTTATTAAGTTTGTCTTTATGTATGGATAATGCACTGTATCTCCAGAAAGGCTGGTATCCTCTTTAAACACTTCAAAGTATACAACTTGAACAGGTCGAGACAACTAGATTTTCTGACGTCAGCATAAATTTGCATGTAGATTAACTATCTGTTTACTTTACCCACTGATGAATGAGTCGTAATGCATTGTGGGCTACTACAAGTATTCAGCTGTGTTGAGAATAAAGGGCAACTTGAATTGTCCCTTGGAAACTTATTTCCAACTTATAATTCTTTTTCGAGATTCATGAAAGAAATATTTAAAATGATGTAAATCTTTCATTTCTATGCTCACATTTACAAAATTTGCTTTATGAAGCAATATATCAACTTACATTGTATAGTTAATTCATAAACCATTGTTCAAAGAAATGTACATGTATAGGAGCTATTGTGTCATTAAAGAATTGAATTTTTTTCACGTGATTTACATGTACATAGTTTTAGACAGCAATACAAGGTGCGCAGTTATATTTAACCCCTCAATATTATCAAAATGTTTTCTAATTGTACATGCAAACGTCAAAGTATTTGCATGGTATACGACTGTTTGAAGCAATTACCAGGTATTAATAATCTAAATCAACTCCAATATAAAATGTGAGCATGGAGCAATGTCTTAGAATGTAATCTTTCAAGTTTGGTCTTATAAAGTGATAAAGAAGCTCTACAGTTTTCCCGGTGATGAAGTAAATATTATGCTGTAAACCAACGAAAACCACGTGTTGCTATTGAATTGTAAACACGTAGTAGACAGTCATGCTTTGGGAATCATTCACTTGATTGGAGAATGGCTGTGACGAAGACATCGTCACATGTTAAAAATTGTCTTCCATATAAGGTAGTGGTCTCAACCTGTTGAAGGAGGGATTTCACTTAACAGCATACACAACTTTCCAGGAAATGTTTCAACTAAGATGATTTGTTTAATTTACCTTACTGGACGTGTCAGCAGGGGACACTTATTTTTTTTATTAGTTTATAACTTTATAGGCAGGTGTAAGTGTGGAAAGCTGATGGCCTTTTTATTGAGATAATTAATACTGTATGATGATATAGCATGAACTTGAAAAAAAAAAAACTGTGAGAAACCGCACCTCTGATTAAAAGAGAAAACCCTTTCTGGGGTAAAGGACTATTATTTCTTTACTACATCAAAATAAAATGTCACAAGGTGTGCTTAAAGTACAGGCAATTTAAGATTTCTTTCAGAAAAATATTTTCATTTAAGCAAATGTTTATATGAATCAATAGAGGGATGATGAACTTTTTAAAAGTTAAATTTCTTATCTAAAATGAATTATTACTTTGTCTATCAAGTTAATGATCTCCTGGGTGGTAGGTGTACATTATATATAGTCTTTGAGTTGGTAATTTTGTCTTTATATTAATTGTTTGTATGTAGGTGTTTGTCACTGTGATCACAGACACCTCGGCCAAAGATACCCAGTGTCAAGATGAGCTAGCGCTGGCCTATATTTCCAACTCCTCTGTATTCCCAGTCAGTCTCAAGAAATACAGAGAAATCGGCCCAGTGCTTGATGGAGGAATGTAGGTAACATTCATAGAAACAACAAAAAAAGATTTTAAGCCTTAACCTAGCTGCATTGGAATTTACTCAGTTTCCCTCCATAGTTATTACAATTTAAGATGTTATAATTTGAAGTAACTTTTAAACCAAATAGTGCAAGCACTTGATGAATATTTTGTACCAGTAATTCAATAGGTTTTTAAAATATGTGGTCATTTATTTGTCATATTTGTTACTGCTTTTCTTTAAAGAATCTTCTACTGGTTGGAAACCAGGAACATATTTAACTAATTCAACAGTTTTTCCAAGACAACAATTTTAATTGTTCCTCACATTTTGCATACCTATTTTTGTAGATAAAAAATTCTCTCTAAAACAAACTCTGTATTATAAGGGTAGAGGGCCCTGAATAGTCATTAATTTATAATAGGTTCCTTACTTGCTTTTGCAAGAAGCAGGCCCAGGATTAGTGATACATTTGTATTTCAAAGTATGCAAACATCTTAAAGCAGAGCAGATTAGAATTCAAATACAGTAATGGTACATAATTACGGGTTATACACATAATGGTACATAGACGTGGGGTTATTATGAAGGATAAAATTTCTATGAGGGAATATACATGTATTGGAAAATTGAAAGGGGGCACAACAAAACAGAAAACCATAAGCTAGTGATATTATTTTTGACAGGACACAACTGTACTTTAGCTTTGATTTCTATTGTATAAATGTTGTAACACGAATATATTTTGGCAAAATTAAAATCTTTTATTTGGCCCTTATTAGTAAAGCAGAAACATAATTACCTAGTTGAAGACCACTTAATATTTCAAAATAAGCAGTATTGTTAAGAATAGGAACCTCGTCCCATTGAGAAATACATGTCAGTGAGAATCTGCTAAATGCATACTTTTTCTGTAACAGGAAGTTAATGTTAGCAAAGATCAACTGGACCTTCTTTTTCAAAGAAGAATTATTTGTGCAGAATATGCCAGCTTTGTTGAGTTCCATAGGGAAGGTTATTGAAGAAAAGACAGAAGAAATCACAGCACCCGAGTCGTTTGATGATGGTAATGTAAAGGTTAAGATTAGTAATAATATTATAAAAGATACTATTTGGGTTTAATTTGCTATCAAATATTAGAGCCCTGAAATTGATAGTTTAATTTATATTATAAACATGTGAAAATCTGCACTACAAATAATTACAAATACGAAACATATAAAGTTCTCTGATAATGATCATATCATTTATATCTCTTCAGCATTAATTTTATGATACACTCCACTCTAACAAGAGGGCAATAACTCTTCTTACATGTACATCTGAAAAAAAATTATGGAGATAGAAATACACAGAGTTAAAGAAAAATGGATTTTTGTTATTTAGCTTGAAAAATATATTGTGAAGTATACTTTATAACATATGACATTGCTTATTTAACAATTTAAAGTTTTAGAAATTTCTGCAATATGTTTCACATTTTCTTATCAAAGACAATTTGTCTGGAAGCTTTTGATTCCTTTCATACAGTACACATTAAAATTAATATTTAAATATTCAAAGGAAACCCTGGGTCTTTATTAACAAAACATCATAATAACAGCCCCATTTGCTGAACACTCATTTACACTGAGTTTTTAAAATTTGAAACCAATAAAACTTTCACTTTGAAAAAACTGATTGACTTGATTCAAATGTTTAGCTCTACAGGATAAACTGAATACAGTATGAAAGGAAATTAATTAGCTGCTAAACTTAGTAAAAAATCCACTAACCTGCTGCTGAGATCAAAGACTAGGTTGTTTGTGAAAATCTTGAACTGCATGAAACAAAACTACCCAGTTGACAGTTGTAGACAAGAGAATTAACTCGTGCTTAATAATAAGTTTAATTTATCTCCCGTAAGGGAGCTGCTGTGATTCTTAAAAGATCAGATAGATTGGTACTGTATGATGATGAGCTAAAACTGTTGCAGCATTTCTTGAAATGACATTTCATTTATATTAAGTTACCAAGGAAAAGGCAGCCTTGTGTGATATTTCATCATTAATAATGCCAAACAAACTCAAATTTCATTCTTTTTAAAAAAATTAGACTTGGTCTGTTGAAAAACTTGCGGCAATGAAGAACAACTTTTGCACATTTAATTGTTTTTCAAATTTGTTAATGGATTGGAAAACGAGACAGAAAAAAATTAATTTTATTAATTTCAGGTACAATCCAGTTCCATGGTATGAATATAAATGTCCACGACAAATTAAATGATGATTCAGAGGGAGAGGAGGAGGAAGATGAAGAGGAATCATCAACCAATAAATCTGAACAAGTCCAGAAGTCAGACACTAGCATGCTGAGCTATGACTTCTGGGATAGATGCTTCGGGGAGAAGACTGAGGTAACCTGGGTGGAGTTTAAGAAGAAGTTTGAGGTTGAGTACAGGGAAAAGATTGTAAAGACATACACAGAGGAAGAGTGGAAGCTGTTTCTGAACTTGATCTACAAAGATATTTTTATGCTGAACAAAACCATGAAGAAGGCAACCTATGACCAGTTCTGTGAGGGAAACCCCTCGGCTGATCCCCACCGGTTCTACCATCGACTGGCTCAGTACGCCAAAGGCTACCACGCCATGAGGGAAGTCTTCAATATGGACAGTACACTCAGACTCATCACTATACAGAAGCTAGGTATTGCATGCAATTTGTTTCTTTTGCTATTAAAGCTGAAAGAATAACAAAATAAATTGTCATAAGATTAAGATATGAGATACATGTATGTTAAACCCCTGTCACACCGGGGCTGCATCCTCACGGCGACTGCACAGCATCCTCAAAAAATGCAAAACGTCAAGGTGATCACAGTAGAGTCTCCTACAGCGCCGTGACAACGCCCCGAGATCTCCACTGAACGCCGAAGGGTTTCCTAGAATGCCAGGGGACGGCGATCACTTTGGGCATGCACAAAGTACGCGCCGTGTGATCGCGGTCTGATAAGAACGCAGTAGAAACGTAGTATGATCACCGTAGCAGCGTTTTGAGATCTCCAACAATGTAGTGGGAGCTTTGTACGAATGCCTTGAAGGCGCATATGATCACGGCACGAACACAGTGATAGTATACTGCGCTTCCACGGAGACCTCACGGAGATGTCGCGGAGTCCTTGGAGATGTCACTGCGTTTCTATCGCGTTTTTACAGCGCTTCTAATGAGATTTATCGTCTTGTGATTTTTTCGACTGCGATTACACAGCGACAGCATGGAGTTGTCTTTGTGATCATTGCGCTCCCATGGCGTTTCTACAGCGTCCCTTGGCAATCACAATGCACTTTCACGGTGTTGTTAGAGCATTGTCAGCCACCTCACAAAACAAGAGCAATGGGATCATACTTGATCAGCAATAATTCCAGAGAAAATTACACCAGAACTTGTTCTGTTGTTTCATTTAAATTTTGTAGAAAACTTTTCAGAGTGTTTATTTTTTACATTCATAATAAAATCAAAGAAAATCTAACAACACATCTGAACCGATAAAATTGAAGAAAAAGGAGTTTAATCATAAAACTATTAAATATTGATAATTTAGTACTAAATTATTTAAATAGAGCATTTTTAATTATCTAGAATGTTTCTTGGCATGATTAGAAGTCTTTTCATCTTGTAACTTGAATTTTTAAACAAAAATGTTTTACATTCCTTCTGAATATTTATATCAATGAGTATAGAACGCATTGTGAACGTATTGTGAATGCAGCCAGCGCAGTGAGAACGCCGTGAACATGAGGTGAAAACTCCTAACGCGCCGTGAAAACTCTGCGGAAGCGCAGTCAATCCCCGAGAGATCTCCGTGGAAACACAGTAGAACGCCGTGAGATCGCCGTAGAATCGCATCCGTTGCTGTAGGGACGCCATGACATCTTCATGTGAAAATTTTACGGAAATTTTTCCTACGATTCCACGGCAATTTAAAAAATTTAACAACGCCATAATGACTCTGTGTGAATGCAGCTTGGTGTGACAGGGCCTTTACTGTGGTTTCATTAATATTAGCGGGCATCAATTTTGGTGGATTTAGTCAAATTCACATTTTCAAGGATACATAAATTCATGGATAATGGTCCTAACAGAAAAAAAATTTGTCTATTACCTTTTCATATTTTCTTTCATCGTATGCTTTAGCGGGAATATCATGCCATTAACATTGTTAAGGGTACATAGATATTTTTAAGAAAATTAGTAACAGGAGAAAAACACTTTATTTATTAAAAAATTTTACTCTTGTTTGAAGATCTTGGAACAAATACATTTACGCTCGCTGGGTATGACTTTTGTAAAATGAACAACAAATAATTTAGCTGTCAATGACAGAACTTTCGCAGCATGCATACCCATTATTTCATGTTTAACAAAAAATATTTTTAGAAGCAAACTGATAAAATTCAAACAAGAGGCCCATGGGCCACATCGCTCACCTGAGCAATGTGGCTAGTAAAAAAAAAGCAGAAATTAGTTTATTATTGAAAAGTTTAAACCCAATAGTGGTCCCATCCAATCCTTAACGAGGAGAGGGTATGATTAGAACAAACTTGAATCTACACAAACTAAGGATGCTTGCATATTTCTTTGACTACATTTGGCTTTATTGACCTTTACATTTGAACTTACATTGTGGCCCCGCCCTACCCCTGAGGGTCATCACTTGAGCAAACTTGAATCTACACTACCTAAGAATGCTTTCATATGAATATGACTAACCATGGCTATTCCATTCTAGAAAAGAAGATTTTTAAAGATTTTTTCTACATGTTTCTATGTAAAACTTTGATTGGCCATTTTGGCCCCGCCCTACCCCTGGGGGTCATCACTTGAACAAACTTGAATCTACGGTACCTGAGAATGATTCCATATGAATATGACTAAATATGGCTTTCCCATTCTAAAAGAGATGATTTTTAAAGATTTTTGCTACATGTTTCTATGTAAAACTTGGATTCCATGTTGTGGCCCCGCCCTACCCCCAGGGGTCATGATTTGAACAAACTTGAATCTACACTACCTGAGGATGCTTCCATATAGATATGACGTATCATGGCTTTGTTGTTCTTGAGTAGATTTTTTATAAAAAAAAAAATAATTCTATATATTTCTATATAAAACTTTGATCATTGTGGCCCTACCCTACCCCAGGGTTCATGATTTGAACAAACTTGAATCTCTACTACCTGAGGATGCTTTCATATAAATATGTTCAATCATGCCTTTGCTATCTTGAGAAGAAGAATTTTAAAGAATTTTCCTATATATTTCATTTGTAAAACTTTGATTTGCCATTGAACCCCCCCCCCCCTCGCATACCCCCAAAGGTCATGATTTGAACAAACCTGAATTTCCACTTCCTGGGAATGCTTCCATATAAATGTGATCATTCATGCCTTTGCTATTCTTGAGAATAAGATTTTTAAAGAATTTCCTTATGTGTGTTTATGTAAAACTTTGATAGGCCATGTGGCCCTGCTCTACTCCTGGGGGTCATGCTTTGAACAAATTTGAATCTACACTACCTGAGGATGCTTCCATGTGAATATGATCATTCATGCCTTTGCTATTCTTGAAAATATTTTTTAAGGCTTTTCCTATATATTTCTATGTAAAACTTTGATCGGCCATTTTGGCCCCGCCCTACCCTGGGGGTCATGACTTGAAAAAACTTGAATCTACACTACCTGAGGATACTTCCCTATAAGTTTCATATTTCCTGGCAAAGTGGTTCTTGAGAAGAAGATTTTTAATGAATTTTCCTATATATTTCTATGTAAAAAACTTTGATCAGTCATTGTGGCCTCACCCTTACCCCATGGGTCATGATTTGAACAAACAATTGCACTACCTGGGGATGCTTCCATATAAGTTTCATTTTTCCTGGCACAGTGGTTCTTGAGAAGAAGATTTTCAGAACATACCACCAAATTTTCACTATTTCTGAATTATCTCCCCTTGAATAAGGGTGTGGCCCTTCTTTTGAACAAACTTTGAACAAACTTGAATCACCTTGAATCCCCTTCACCTAAGGATACTTTGTGCCAACTTTGGTTGAAATTGGCCCAGTGGTTCTTGAGAAGTCGAAAATGTGAAAAGTTAACGATGACAACGACAGACAACAGACAAATTTTGATCAGAAAAGCTCACTTGAACCTATGGCTCAGGTGAGCTAAAAAGCATGAAATTGTGTTGATAATTTGTGTGAAATTAGCCTGTTTTGAAAAGAGAGTAATTAATTATTTTTTTTAGGATTTTTATTTACAGTGTAACGATAATTTGTTGATTTCACTGTTCAGGTGATAATTGGGGTGGGACACTTAAATTGTTTGAGAAAACAATTTTAACACATTTACACAAAATTATCATCCTTCAAGGGTAAACCGTTCATTGGTATATGCACTACATTGACAGATCTATGTTTTGTTTGTTTATCTTTGTGCACAATGTTAAACTTTTTTACTCAAAAAGTCGAGAAAATTATGTAAAATTATTTCTTCCTCTTTTTCGCTTACCTGAGCCGAAGGCTCAAGTGAGCTTTTCTGATCAAAATTTTCCGTCGTCTATCGGCAGCGGCGCTGTCATAAACTTTTCATTTTTTCATCTTCTTCTCAAATTACCAGTTGGCCAATTTCAACCAAACTTGCTACAAAGTATCCTTGGTTGAAGGGGATTTAAGTTTGTTCAAATGAAGGGCCAAGCCCTTTTCCAAGGGGAGATAATTATAAATTAATGAAAAATTAATGGCATCTTTTAAAAATCTTCTTCTCAAGAACCATTGAGCCAGGAAAGATGAAACTCATATGGAAGCATCCTCAGGCAGTGTAGATTAAATTTTGTTCAAATCATGATCCCCTGGGGGAAGGGTGGGGCCAGAATGGCTGATTGAAGTTTTACATAGGAATCAACATAGGAAAAATCTTTTAAAATCTTGTTCTCCAGAACCACTGGGCCAGGAAAGATGAAACTTATATGGAAACATCATCAGGTAGTGTAGATTCAAGTTTGTTCAAATCATGACCCCCGGTGCTAGGCTGGGGCCAAAATGGCCGATCAAAGTTTAACATAGGAGTATATAGGAAAAATCTTTAAAAATCTTCTTCTACAGAACCACTAGGCCAGGAAAGATGAAACTCATGTGGAATCATCATCAGGAAGTGTAGATTCAAGTTTGTTCAAATCATGACCCCCGGGGGAAGGGTGGGGCCAAAATGGCCGATCAAAGTTTTACATAGGAATATATAGGAAAAATCTTTAAAATTCTTCTCAAGAACCACTGGGCCAGGAAAGATAAAACTCATGTGGGATCATCCTCAGGTAGTGTAGATTCAAGTTTGTTCAAAACATGACCCCTGGGGCTAGGGTTGGGGCCAAAATGGAAGACCAAATTTTTACATAGGTATATATAGGGAAACCTTTTAAAATCTTCTTTTCAAGTACTTCAAAGCCATGGTTAGTAGTATTTATATGGAATCATCCTCAGGTAGTGTAGATTCTAGTTCGTTCAAATCATGGACCCCCCCCCCCCCCCCCCCCACTGACCTCAGTAAACTTTCAGTTCTGATCTGATATGTGCTTTTTCCTTTTTCCTAACCAATGTGCTCAGGTGAGCGCTGTGGCCCCTAGGCCTCTTGTTTTAAAGTTACTGTGCACTT